GTTTTTCTGTTTATCGATTTAGAAATTTTAAATCCATTCATAGAAAAAAAAATTGAGGGGCTCAATGAAAAGAGGGTACTACTTTTTCAGATTTATATAAATTTATATTTATTTATCAGTAATATTTCTAAACCAATTACATTTTTGAAAATTTGTTTCGGTATAAATTTATGATATTTCGATATTTTGGTATGTTCATATGTGACTGTTTCCCACTGGGCTTTTCAGTTTTAAGAGGTGGTTCAAATCTGTGAGAAGGAATGGGGACGTTATATGTGGAGGGGGATTGTTAATATATAATGATGGGAAATGCTTTGCACGTGACTTACAAGTATATTCACTCACTCTATACCGTCGTTTTTTTTCACGGTGAAAACTGCTTTTATTAACTTACAAACACATTATATTTTTAATGTTTTTTTTTGTAATTTTTATTGTAACAAATATATTTATATCTTTTACAGTTATTCTTTTATTATAAATTTGAAAGAGAAATTTGTGTTTCAGACTAAGTCCTTAAAAAACATCATTTTACTATGTCCAAGAAGATAATATGTTTATTTGATGTCGATGGCACACTTACTTCTCCTAGACAGGTATATTTCATTCATATCAGGTGAGTGCAAGGTTTCCTAATTTGAAGTAATTAAACATACTTGTTTCACTACTTCCATTCATTACTTGTACATTTGTACAGAGAAAGTTAATTAACATAACTATCCTGAATTACTTTTGAGTTACCTATTAGCACAAGGCATTTGTCTTTTTAAGTTAAAATATTATATTCAACATAAAGTTGCTAAAAGAATTAAATTACCGAGGAAGAGATAACAGATAATTGTAAAGCAAAATACTAAATACATAGATAAATATTTGGTATGTTTTAATTACTCAAAATTATTAGAACTGACCCACTCACACCATTATGAAAGTTATTTTTCTGTAATTATATTCCTTTTTTTTTGCATTGACCATCTAACAGCCAATTAAATCAAATGTGGAGAAATTCCTATTAGAAACACTTCGCAAGGAATTTGATATAGCTGTGATTGGAGGATCCGATCTAGTCAAACTAAAGGAACAGTTAGGTGGTGGAAGTATATTTGAGAAGTATAAATATGTTTTTGCAGAAAATGGACTTATTGCATATAAGGATGGTAAAAAATTACCGACTGAGGTAAAATATACAAGTAAAAACAAATTTGTGTGACGCTTTTATAAATTTGATATAATTCATTTTAAAATCAACTTCTTATAGACAATTCAAAGTATTATTGGTGAAGATGCATTACAAGACTTCATAAACTTTTGTTTGAAGTACATATCTGAATTGCACTTACCATTTAAAAGAGGAACTTTTATAGAATTCAGATCAGGAATGCTAAATGTATCACCAGTTGGTCGTAACTGTACTCCAGAGGAACGTATTCAATTTTATGAATATGACAATGAGAATCAAGTTCGTCAAAAATTTATTCAAACACTTAAGAAAGAATTTCCAGATTTGGCTTTAACATACAGTATTGGTAAATATATATGATCATTGCAAGTCATCTTTATTATTAAAACATTGTGGAGAGCGGACATTTAAACTATTTATCGAATCATTTTTCAACATATAAATTCTTCCACCAAATATCATTATGTATTTTCGTTGTTCAAATATAATCTTATCTATAATCACTAATACGCGAAAGACGTAGATCACAAGGTTTTCGTGTTCGCAATGTGTTAAGTACAATATTTAGACTTACTACATTCCTATATTTGGAATCAAATATTTTGATTAACCCAGACATTTACTAAACTTTGAACACTATTAAAACAATTTCATCTGTTTTGTATTCTCAATGAGTATCAAATTTGCTTTCTTGTATTGATATTTTCCAATTAGTTTTCATAATTAGACAAGAGTACAACAACTTTCCCCATATAAGTAACAAGAATGAATTGCTTTGCATATATAGGAGGTCAAATATCTTTTGATGTATTTCCTGTTGGCTGGGATAAAACGTACTGCCTTAGATACATTCAGGGTTACGATGAAATACATTTCTTCGGTGATAAGACAGCAGAAGGTGGTAATGATTATGAAATTTATGAGAGCGATTTAACGATCGGACATCGTGTGACTTGTCCAGAGGATACAATTAATCAACTTAATGTTCTTATGGCACTTGTCAAAGAAAACAAAGAAAAAGAACAATTAGCCGTTCCTATGCAATGTGCATAACGTGTCAAATATTCATTGTATAGAATGTTTTATCCAAGGATCATAAGGTATTTTATATGATACATCATTTGATTTTAAACGTTATATTCGTACACATTCCAATCACAATATACACTTGTCATTGTCAAACAAAGACTTTACAAATGATCATAAATTTTGGAAGTAAAATAAATGGTAAATTTATGTTTCCTAGAATTTTTCTTCAACTAATAAAAGAGTAACTGCACTGTTCTATACTTCGCTGAACAAGGGAAAAGAGTCTTATTTTGACATTGGTGCAATATTTGAGACAGTTTCAAATGATGCTTTATTAATGTTGTACAAAGAAATATAAAATAAAAATGTATTATTATTATTATTATTATTATTATTATTATTATTATTCTATTATGAATTAAACTTGTGTAGGTGACAGGAAAATAGACATCAGTATTAAAAATATAATAATTTTATTTTCATAAAAATATACGTCCCTTCTTTCCCCACAGGCATATGCACAACATTCTGTATAAACTATACATGTAAAATATATATCTTAACAATAACAACAACATAAATATAAAAAATCAATTTCACAAAAATTACAGATAACATGATCTGGATTCCTTAGGATAAGAGTTACAAAATAGGTAAACATATAAAATTTTTGTCTTAATTTTTATCCTTAATCAAGCGTAAACGTCTTGTAAAATGTATGGTAAGTTCAGCTCATATATTTACACGCCTTCATAAACAGGTACACGTTTCGATACAAATGCGGCAAGTCCTTCGATTCTGTCTTTTGTATCTAGAATTTGACTATAACA